ATTTTGAATTCAAACAACTCTCTCTTGGAAGCTTAGAAATTGACTAGAAAGTATGAAATCACTGCAACCCTTTGTAGAGAGCTTAGGTTAAGTTTTAAAGTATTTGATACCTGTTTTCTCAACGTAGATGAACAGGAGTCTGATAAGAAAATTGGTTATTGGTATGAAATCTATTGAACTATTAAGGGTATTTCGCAGAAAGGGACCAAAAATTCAGGAAAAGAGTTACTTTAGAAGTGTGCAAACTTGGCTTTTCTGTGGGTCTCATCACCTATTGCTGGCGTGCAATTAAAGAGATTCTTTAATTCCTTTCATCTATGAAGAGTGTTACCTTTGGAAAATTATATTTTACTTATTTCTTCCTTGAAACTTTGGTCGATTCTACGAATCAATGTGTTTTCTTTCTCTATTAAGATGTTATGCTCTGAATCTTATATGTCAATGTCTTTTATGCCTTTCTTGTTGACGTTAAATATGTAAAATAACCGCAGATATCAACGATATGGAAACACTCCTATAAGGGTGGTCAGTGGAAACCATGTATCAACAATTCCTCGGGAGGTAAGAGACCTGTCAATGACTCTGAATCATGTATTGTTTCTTGTATATGTGTATTTCAAGGAATTCCCATTTTTCTATTCCGTTTTAAACGTGGAAAAATCACTTTATGCCAAAGATGCTCAGTTTTAAATCCTTGAGGTTAGCCCCAAAGTCAGTTTTAAATCTCTTAAGCCATTCTGAGTTCCGCTTCCTTTCGTAGATGATCGATATCATTTTCAGAATGTTACGAAGTTACTCCAAGAAAGCAATGTTACAAAGTTCTTGCTTTCTTGGGACATTAACTGTTTCATTTATTCTTTGGAATCATATGTCTGGTTTTGTTTTAATTTTTATAGGCCTACCTGAGTCAAATGGATATATTTATGTTGAGGCAAATGGCGGTCTAAATCAGCAGAGAACATCGGTTGGTTTCTTTTACATCTGCTTTCGTTTTTTACTACCCGACCCCGTGAAAGAAACTGTTCTCTACGTAATAGCTTTCTCTGCAACAATGCGTTTTTTCTCATTCTATGTTGTTATTGTAGATATGCAATGCAGTTGCTGTGGCTGGCTATCTTAATGCAACGCTTGTAATCCCTAATTTTCATTTCCACAGCATTTGGAGAGATCCTAGGTTTGTCTACATTATACTTTATACTACAAATCTTAACACTTTTGTTGAAGCTTGATGTTGTTATCCAGCTGATAGGAAAATTTGTACGATGTATCCGTCTTCCAAGACTAATTTATTTAATGTTGGGTTTTCTTGTTCAGCAAGTTCAGCGAAATATATGATGAGGAATATTTTATCAAGACCTTAGAGAATGATGTACGCATTGTTAACAAGATTCCGGAATACATAATGGAACGCTTCGACCACAACATGACTAATGTCTACAACTTCAGAATAAAGGCATGGTCGTCCATTCAATATTACAAGGATATGGTACTTCCGAGATTACTTGAAGAACTGTGAGTGTTTCTGTTCTAACCATTAGCTTCTCGTTTCTCGACAATCATAGACTTGCATTGTTAAATGTTTGTGGAAGATTCCTCCATCACATTTTCTACCTATAAGTGTGTTTCAGAACAATAAAGAATATGGAACTTAGTGCCCCAATAATGTAAGAGTAGTGTAGAAAACCTACGAACCAGGAGAGGAGGGGATTCCCACCCAAAAGCTACAAAGCATAGCAAGGGAGAAACTAACATAGGAGTAATAATAGTGTTAAAAATAAAAGTTTTTTGATTGTTCTTCCAGAGGAGCCAAATGATAGCACTAGCCACACAACTTTAGAAGATCGTAGCCTTTCCTCTAAAGGTCCAGCCCACTAGCGCAGCACACTTGTTGGGAAGCATATCAATAAATCAATTTCTTTCCGGATGAAGGGCCACCCTCTGTGAATGAAGAGACAATGAAGGAAGAGATGGTCCAAAGTTTTCTACCTCCTTATAACATAAGCAACAGAAGGAGGGGGAAGGCCCAAGTTCCTTTGGAGCTTCCCTAGAGTATAGAGGTTTCTTTAAGCAAGCAAAAACGAAAACAATCTCATCTTGTGAGATCCCACATTGGTTGGGGATAGAACGAAGCATTCCTTATAAAGGTGTGGAAACCTCTCCCTAACAGACACGTTTTAAAACCTTGATGTGAAGGCTAGAAAGGAAAGCCCAAAGAGGACAATATTTGTTAGCGAGGACTTGGGTTATTACACATCTTCTTTGGAATCTTGAACCTGCAAACAAGTTTTACTAGGTGTTTGAATTTCTTTATAAATAAAACTGTCTTTAAAAAAATTTAAGACCTCTTACACATAGTATATGAAATGGCCCAAGCCCAAGCCCACCGCTAGAAGATATTGTCCTCTTTCGGCTTTCCCCTCAAGGCTTTAAAACACGTCTGCTAAGGAAAGGTTTCTACACCCTTATAAAGGGTGTTTCGTTCTTCTCCGCAACCAACGTGGAATTCTCATAGTATACATCCAAATGGTGTTGTGTCTTTATGATCCCTTGGAAATGAACTATGGCTAAATGTTCAAAATTTGTGGATATGGGCTGAGACATCGAGTTGATAAGATTAGGAACATTAAGAAAAATCTTGTGGTGCGATCTTGTGAAAGATTTGGAAGAAAATAAATGAGGTAGGAGGTAGGACATGTATGGGAGTGTAAAGGTTTTATTTTACCCTTATGGTACTCTACAAATAAAGGGTTTCATTCTTTTTCCTATACATTTTTGCTTTGACAGTGAGTTCGTGAACACCTAGGCTTCTTCACTTTTCTCTCTCCCATTTTGTATGACTAGGAAAAAGACTACACGCACACACAGACTTGTTTATATATATATATTGTAGAAACCAAAATATATGATGAATAAGCTCTATCTTTCCATTTTTTTTGTTCTGTTTTTATGGGAATATGATTCAAATGACAAAAACTAGGCTTGGAGTTTGAAAAAACTAGGCTTGGAGTTTGAAAATACCCTTAGAAATTAGACAACAAACTGAAGAAATCCATCCACGAAAGTAATGTTTATAAGCTTGATTTTCAAAAACAAAAAACTAAAGGCTTATCAAACAAGGTCTTGATCTGCTCGTTATTCATACTGTGAATATTTTGATCTTAATTTTTGGAATAATTGGGAGTTCACTCATTACAGGGTTATAAGAATTTCACCTTTTGCAAATCGATTGTCGTTTGATGCTCCTCCTGCTGTTCAACGGCTTCGATGTTTAGCAAATTATAAAGCGCTAAGGTTCGCTAATCCCATTTTATCCTTGGGAGATATTTTGGTTGCGAGGATGAGAGAACGCAGTGCTAGTAATGGTGGCAAGTATATTTCTGTACATCTTCGCTTTGAGGAGGTATGTTTTGAGAAATTGAATGTATTTTGAGTTAACGAAAATGAGTTTATGAAAACCTGCTTTCAAACTTGGTTAACAGGATATGGTTGCATTCTCGTGTTGTATTTTCGATGGTGGACATAAAGAGTTGGAAGACATGAAAGCAGCAAGAGAAAAAGGATGGAAAGGGAAATTCACAAAACCGGGCAGAGTCATACGTCCTGGTGCCATAAGGATTAATGGAAAATGTCCGATGACTCCGTTAGAGGTGCTTGTGTCGTACTATTACCTATATTTCATGAATGATGCTTCAAGAGCACTTTGTAATTCTTGTATTCAACAGGTTGGGTTGATGCTTAGGGGAATGGGATTTGACAATAGCACATTTATTTATTTGGCATCGGGAAAGATATACGACGCGGAGAGAAATATGGCTCCGCTTTTGGAGATGTTTCCAAATCTGCTTACGAAGGAAATGCTGGCATCACCTGATGAACTTTCCCCATTCAAGGTTGAATTTTGAGTTAAGTTCTTTTATATTGTGAAGTTTTTATGGACACCATTTTTGCTTTCAGAACTTTTCTTCGAGGATGGCTGCTATAGACTATACGGTTTGTCTCCACAGCGAGGTGTTCGTGACGACACAGGGTGGCAACTTCCCTCATTTTCTGATGGGTCATAGAAGATATTTGTACGGCGGACACTCCAAAACTATCAGGCCGGACAAACGCAAGTTGGCATTACTTTTTGATAACCCTGCCATTGGGTATGTCTTACTTACTCATGAGCATGATGATTTAATTGCCACTGGTGGTATTTAACTATGTTTTGCTCATTTGTTTTTTGTTTCCCAGATGGAAAAATTTCAAGAGACAAATGTTGAGCATGAGGAGTCATAGTGATTCCAAGGGATTTGATCTCAAAAGGCCGAACGACTCGATATACACCTTCCCTTGTCCAGATTGCATGTGTTTTACGAACAAATCAAACGATACGAAATCATCGTTAGCCTCGTGATTGTTGAGAGTGGAAATGTATTGTTGTTGCTGCTAACCCAACATTTTCTTTTGTGATTCTTTCATTTTTTTTCACCTTCTGACACAGCAAGAAATGGGTTGATGAGAGCATATTGGGTCTTGACTGAGGCATTTGGAAGTGAAGCTGCTGTATCTAACCATAGTGTTTTTGGTTTCGTTGTCTTTGTTTTTGAGATGGTTTTTTGTGATAGGTTGTTAGATAGACTCAGATTTATACTGTAAAAGTGAGTAGTTTTCTTAGATCATCCAATTTTCAGTCAATATTTTACTTTTCAAGAATTGGTTTTTCAACCCTTATTTGCAATTAATTGTACTATACTTCCTCTTGGGATTTTCATTGTTGTTGGTATATCTCCTACATTGTACCATACTTAACGTTTCATAATTTGGATACATGGTAATGTTACCTATTACTTGCTTTCAGGGGAAGATTATCTCTACGGACCAATAAGAGTTACTATAGCATGTTTTTGTCGCAGGTATTCTTTAAGAATATTTCAAGGCAGTGGTAACATGTACGGTACACGTGATATATGACATTTCAATAATAATACAAATATATGCAAAGTTTCAGTACAATCTTATTGATTCAAAAAGTTTCATTTGAACACTTGACATTCAAAATTATTTCAAGACAACCGCTCCATAGCTTTCCCACTAAAATGAATGCAAAATAGTGTTATGAAGTTCAAATATTGATGTTCTAACGTGTCTCACTTAGTCGGTGTTTTAATCCCATTCAAAAGAAAAATAATTGAGAACTACTCCAAGAAAGCAAGAGGCTGAGGCGTCGACAAATTTATGTCTGTATTATGAACACAATTAATCACTCAAGAAGCTTATTGCAGGTTCCAACACCAACAGCAGCAGCAAGATGCCAAGCTGCATGAATGAACGGAGTTTGGGGAAAAGCATCGTCAGCAACGAAAAGAACACCACCTAACAGCGTCGACACTTTATGCACGTTGTGAGCCATCCTCAAATCTGGATCCTTCAAAGCTCTTTTTGCAAACATTACCTGAGTTTCATAATCAAACATATCAATATCAATATCAATTAATCATGCAAAGGCATGAGCAAAATGTTACCTCCATCATCCCAGTATGAAGTGCTGAAACCGTAAAGGGCCTCAAAGGCAATAGAAATGCAGATGCAGCCATCAACATCCTCGGGTTGTCGTTTCTCAAAGCTCCTGTCAGGCACTGCAATATAGTTTGAGACATGAGAAAATCTAAGTTCAAATAAGCCTACAAAATCAACTCAAAGTAAAACACCAAGTTTTATGCCCTAACAACTCTTTTGTAATAGCTCAAGCCATGACAGCTCAAGCCCACTGCTAGAAGATATTGTTCTTTTTAGGCTTTCTCTCAAGGTTTTTAAAATGTGTCTGCTACGAAACGTTTCCACACCCTTATAAAGAATGATTCATTCTCCACCCCAACTAATGTGGGATTTGTGTCTTAAAGATGGTTTAAAGATGAAAACTACAGGGACCTCATACATTTTGTGTATTCATATACATTGGGATACTTCCCCATTTATGATGATGAGTACGGACGTGTACACTATGATGATGATGATTATGACGCACGACACTCGAGGTCTGCAAACCTCTGGACATCGCTACGAATGCTAGCTCGACTATGATGGGTCCAAGGGGGGTGCAAAATGCCTAGGAATCCACACACGCACATGTGGGTCGTGTGTGGGGAAGTACTACACATCCAATTTTGTCCAAACTGGTAATAATAGACTAAGGCATCTCTCGATTCAAGATAAGCTGACCTCCTAAACCTGATTGAACAAGGTAAAAAAGATCAAGGAAGGATCGGAACTTAGAAAAATGGTTGGGAGATAGTTCAACCGGAACCCTCTTTCACTCTTTCCCTCAGTAAAGTCCAGTTCTCTTGCAGCTTTCTCTTCCACCCTGAACTTTCCCGTCTTGTAAATGAATGAAATCGGTCACCCCTATGATGGTTTTCACGATAAGTCCTTAATAATAAGTTGCATGTGTTTGCATTCCCTAATACCAATAGTGGGGTCACTTAAAATACTCAAGCAGTGTGCTATTTTTATTTCAGGTAAAGGCAATGCATCCCTGTTCAGTTAATGACGACATCGCAAGTCAAGACCATGACATATGCATAGAATAGTGGTATTTTATTTCTTATACTTTAGGTTAGCATAGGGTGTTTTTACTTTTATTGTTTATCTATTTCATTTAGTATTTCGTTATGTTGTTTTAAAGATGTTTTCGAACACGTAAGTCCATGGTAGTGTTTTATGATGAAGTATTAAATGTTTAATTCTGCATAAGAGTATAGATTATGATGACGGTAACGGCTTTAGGTTAGTAGAAATCTAGGGTTGTTACACTTTTGTCTTTATGCCAATAAACAATAAACAAATCCATTATTAACTTACCACCGTGGCTGTAGCGATCATTGTGTAGTCGGCCCATCTTAGGTATTGTCTCAATTTTCCTCTGGAAGAATGATATAAACTTGAAGCAACTCCTACTCCAATCAATGAATTAGCATATAGCCTCGTTGGGAAATTCTTCCTGTGTTCCAAGTAAAAAGCCAAATAATCAGACAAGCACCTACACACACATGTCGAAAACTTTGAGCAGTAGTTACCTACCTTGGTGCCTGAATTCCAAGAGCAATAAAAGGAAGTGAGGTAAGCACGTTAGCCACCCTCTCCGCTATATTCCGATCACCTACCAACCAAATAACAAGAGGATAAACATTTTGAAGCCATTTATAGATAATACTAAAGCCTTGGGACTCTCTTTTAAGTCCTCTTGGGTTTTCCCTAGGTTTTCCTCTCATAATCCCCCCCTCTTCGGAGCTCGCTAGCACACCGTCTGATGTCTGACTCTAATACCATTTGTGACAGCCCAAACTTACCGCTAGCAAATATTCTCCTCTTTGGGTTTTCCATTCCGGGCTTCTTCTCAAGGTTTTTAAAAACGTATCTAATAGGGAGAGGTTTCCACATTCTTATAAAGAATGTTTCGTTCTCCTCTCCAACCAACGTGGGATCTCACATAAAATCCAACATTGCAAGATGATGTATGACTACGAAGGTGAAGAGATTTCAAGACTATACCTTGTATACAACCCCCAACAGGTCTCAAACAGGATGGTCTCTGCTCCCATACCCATCTGAAGATCATGAACAAACCGTTAATACCATGGTCTAAGGAGGTTATAATTTTGGTAAGAGCTCTATGAACATCCTAAACTTGTTAGGCTGTTTGTGAACAAATAATACAAAGCTCTATCAGTTTTCATGTCAACTTACTGATTCACACTTAAAGCTGATGAACTCCCACAACTCAATGTAGAAAAATCCCCATCTCGTGAAGCCTTTTCCAAGGCGAATTGTTGTGAACCAGGCACCACAGCAACACCATGCAGACCTTCAAGGGCTCTACTAGAGTTCGATTTATTATAGATACCCATCAGAGTTTCAGTAACAAGCCGAATCATTCTCAATGCCAGCAACACTCTGCTGGCATCGAACAATATAACTATGTCCAGTGCAAACTCCTATGTTGAACTGCACAGGTAAAAATCTTCTTAATCAAATCTTCATTTGAAGAAATCAACATTCCCAGAAAAATCATATACAGTTGCATACATTTGGGCGTTTGGTTAGTAGACAAGAAACTTGAGTACCAACTATTTCCACTGCCTATCAGAGTTGCTTCTTTTAGCGAATCATTGTTTAATCAAGTACAACTGGATTCAATAACCTTGTTAATGAAGGAAGGGTGAGGCAGAGATCATTTCAAACAGAGAAAATTGAAGTTTCATCTAATTACATTGCAGATTTTGGATCCTTACAAATGGCAACAGGATTGCCTTTTCATGTTAGTTTGGTGGGAGGAGAAGCAGCAGCAGCAGAAATACAGCTATGTATACCACAAAATTGAATACGCTATACGAATCATCGAGAATCCCCCACAAATAAAAAATTAGAATATTCAAAGAATCAACCATACACTCATGCCCATTATTCAATATATAATAGAATTTTTTAATTATCGCAATCTTAATCTGGAAGCAGAATGGATGAGAACAACAAATACGATGAATATAGGGTTTCCAAATTCGAGATTTCAGGAACCAGATCACAAGAACAAGGAAAAATCCAGAAAGGATTCGACATTGAAGAATGAGGGAATGAATTAAAAACCTGATGATATTGAGATGCTGCGGCGGAGAGGAGGAGGAGGAGGACCGGCTGCGAGATCGATAGAGGAGGATCAGAGGAGGCGAGATTCAGGGGAGATTGGTGGAGATGCGAATCACTGAAAAGAATGTTGTTGTTCGACGGGAAGCAATTCGCATTCCCCCAATCAATCCTTGAGGTGTCCCTCAGGCCTCAACCTCACCGAAATCGCTCGAAAATTGGAGAGATTTCATTTCATCAACACGGCCCCGGGAAAAGGCTATATACTCCTCCACATCAAATGGGATCATAACATTTGGAAGCAAATTAACACATAATTTTGTATACGCTCAAACAACAAAATTCTTATGCATTTCAATACCACTCATTTTTAAATTATTCGCTTAATCCAATATTCTTCACACATAATAAAATCTCTTTATCACCTTCAATATCTCACATGGATCCAACCCACTCAACTCGAAGATGTTTTGACCAAATTCAAATTGGATTGGATCAAGTCGAGTTGGATCGGATTGATTCGACCATTTTCTTAAAGTCAACCAAACCCCAACACAAGATTTTATTTAATAAAAAAAAAAAAAAAAAGGAAATGTGTAGTCAAACCCTTTTCAAAAAAATAATTAAAAAAAAAAAAAACATGGAAATGGGAAACCCAACAGAACCAAATCTGAGAGAAAAAGGTTTGTTTTTTCACGTCTGATTTTGATTTTGAGTTTCTTCAAAAAAACCCCTTTTTCCATGAAATCCGTACCGATACCCTTCTTTTTGTTTCCCAATGCACCTTTCTTTCTTTTAATCAAAATTAGATTAATAATAATTTAGTAAAATAACAGTTGTTTTTTTTTTTAATTATTATAAAAAATATGTCACTTTTTCTTTTTAATCATTTAATTATTTATATATAAAAAGAACTCTTAAGTACGTTGAGAAGAATCTAACTAAATAAAGACAAAAAAAAAAAAAAAGATATTTTTGTAATTAGTTTTGAAACCCATTATTAATGACTAATTATTTGATCATCTATTAATTATTTTACTCCTCTTTTTTGATCCTTATATATTTTTTAATTCTTTTTTTTTCTCCCCGAGACATCGGCTATTAATACGTGACAGTCCCACATTTAATTAAAAAAAAAAAAGGATAAGAAAAAAGAAACAGAGACCAAGAATGTCTAAAAAAATTAAAAATTAAAAATTAAAAACATTTTCAAACATTAGGCTTAAGATCATGTGGTTAAACCCACAAGACACGCACCAAAATCTTCTCTATGTTCTTTTTCTCTCTCTTCCTCTCTCTCTCTCTCTTCACTTTCTCTCTTTCCCTTGTTTTTTTCACGGCGGCGGAATGAGAGTAAGAACCGTAACCTGCAGTCGCCACGGCGCCGGAGCCACCACTGCGCTTGTTCTCTTCTTGTGGGTTCTTCTCATTTTAGCTCCAGCCACCACCACACTCTGTTTTCAGCTTCCGCCATCGCCTAGGAAATTAGTCCGCTTCTCCACGGCATCGCTTCGCCATGCACCGTCTGCAACAACTCCAGACAAGCTTCTGCACCGTCGTCAGTCATCCGCCGGCGCCACCGCAGCTTACGGCGACGAGAAGCGGTTAATTCACACGGGTCCGAATCCGCTTCACAACTAAGTTGATAAAAAAATTTTGTCCTGAAATTTCAGAAACAAGAGCATAAAAAATTAGCATTCTGAGAGAGAAATTTTGAAGGCTAATTGTTTGATGCTCTTGTTTCTTGGCATCCTCATCTACTGGAGTGTGTGTATTTTTTTTTTTTTTTTTTTTTAATGTAACAAAAATTAATTGCATTTGAATTAAATTAAATTTTGTATGTATTAATTCTTGTTTATTCGTCTTACCCACTTCACACTCACTGTACCACAGAATTTATTCTTCTTATTATTAGTTTTTATTTTTATTTTAAGAAATTTAGAGGAAGAACTAAAATAATTGGGAGAAAAATAAAACTCCCAAACATAGGCATTACTATTTATACATATATATTTATTTATTTATTAAATATAAACTTAGAATTTTGAATTTTGGAATTAATTTTAAAATCCAATTGAATTGAATTAAATAAAAAAAAAATAGTTTAAAAAGTATGGAAAAAGCAAGTGGTTGTTTTGTTGATTATTGAACGGTTGAAACACAGAAACCCGACTGAGCAGACAATTAATGCACACGCTCTTTTTGCATTATGGGCAGACCGCATCAGATCCTCCAACTTAATCCTGGCCCTTCATCTCAGAATTTTCTCAAGATCGGTGCCGTCCCCACGAGATTTCACGTCCCTGCTTTTCCCACGTGGACGTACCTGATTTCTCCTGCATGACGCCACTCTACCATAACATAACCTCTCCCACCACCGCCTGCATCTGATTTTTTCTTTTTCTTTTTCTTTTTTTTTTTTGTTTTAAATAAATAAATAAATAATGTTACGTCTTAAATTTGGTCAGAAAATTAGTTATAAATATTAAAATTCAATTCTATTCCGTTATTGGTCTCCACAACTAACTATATTATATTCTATTTATAATCGACTTTAAAATTTATATATTTACTAGTGGTGGACTTGAATGCGATGTTCGGGTGAATGAATGATCGATCGAATAACCCGGAGAGAGTTTTAGAGTTTCATGGAAATGGAAAAGAGGATGGGGAGAAAAAATTTCCTAAAACACAAACCAAGCTGATGTTAATTAATGCAAAAAGAAGGAGATTCCAACACATCCAAACACCTCTTTAATGACTAATTAATGCATATACCTTTCATACACCTTCCCCTCCATCATCATCAATACACAAATTTCTTAATATTTAATCATCTTTTAATATGATTTAAGGATTTAATTTTATGTTTGTTAGGTGAGAATCTAAAACGGAAGTGGTTAAGGTTATTGTTTTTTCGGCTTCATTTATTTGTTTCGATGTATTTCGATCTTTAGTTATATCCAACATTTGGTATCATAGTTAGGAGGAGATGTGACGATGATAAAGAGTGAAAAAGAGGGGAGTGTAATGCTCCATTACTCGTTACTCATGAAGAGTAACTACGCAATATTGTCAATAAAGATGCGTGTTAGCTTACAAGCGCAAGGCATGTGGGATGCCATCTAGCATGGTGACGACGTTTTAAAGTGTAAGAGGACATCCTCTCATGTTGGCAGAGAAGGACTCGACAAAAGTAGTTTGAGAGACACTGCAAACTATGCATGTGGGTGTGGAATGAGTTGAGAAAGCAAAGATGCAGACATATCAGTTGAGGAGGTTGCTACCTCCACCAAGTAGTTTGATGACCTCAAGAACATGTTAGTTGAGGAAGCTGTTGGTCGTCTTAAGGGCCATAAAGAGAGACTTCGTTCGTGACTACGATGACAGAGAGGAGGAGAAGCATCTCTTACTTGTTGGATCGATGACAACTCTAAACGAGTTAATATGGTTTTAACAATAAAAATATTTAAGCCATTAATTTTTCTAATTATGATTTTTTTTTTACCTAGTGTTAAGGATATTTAGTAATAAATTTTAGTTTACCATATATATTATATTTGATATTTTACTATAAGGCAAATATTTCTAATATTTGCCTTATTATCATAGGTATCTTTTAATTTATTGTTATTTCCATTTATTACTATTTTCATATCCTTGTAATTCATTTGGTTATAAATAAGATAACTTTCACATCATTTAGGTGTGGTGGATTAATCAAACATTCACACCTAGGAGATGATGATTAAAATAATAAAATTTTAAAGAAATAATAATAAACAATTATAAAAAAAAAAAAAAAAAAAACAATACCGGCAATACATCATAATAACAATTTCAAAATTAAATAAAAAGAGTTAGAAATTATATCTTAATTTAACCGTGTTTGGGTCAAACTTCACCTACTCCACTTCCAAGCGCCTCTGGTAAATTTGAATAAACTTTTCTCGACTCTTTTCTCGAATTAAAATTTGAATAAACCTTTCTCGACTCTTCTCAAGGATTAGAGCTCAACAGCTACTACCGCTAATTTTACGAGTTCAAGAGAAAGCTCAATGTTTTTCACGACTCAAGATCAAATTGGTACAACTGTTTGAATTTTGTAGAATGAGTTTAAATACAGATAGCTGTAAAAATAGGAATTAATATGAAAAAAGAGAAATGAAAGGTGACCATTAAAATATTTCTTTCAAATGACTTTAAATTATATTTTTAAAAATATTTTTAAAAAATGATAGATTTAAAGTATTTTTATATTTATGTTCGGAAGAGAAATAAAAAGGAGAACAAATGTTTATATTTATGGTTGAAATAGAAATAAAAGGTAGATAGGTTTTTTTATATTTATGCTTTTTTTTAGTAAATATTAAAAAATTTCCAAATTCATCTTTATTATTTATTTATTTATAAATATAATAATATAATATTAATAAAAATGATGTGAGCAACAATTTTTTATTTTTAATTCAATGATGCATAAATAATTTTATTTCTATTAAAAAATAATTGAAAACTCCATCATTTCTAAATGTCATACTTTAATTGGTCTATGATGTCAATTTTGCTGCCATTTCATCACGTTGTATGTCTGATTTCGACTGTAACTTCTCGTTTTAGCTCTGATTTGAGTGATTGGAAAAGGCATTGAACACACTCTAGACAATTCAAAATATTGATAATTTTTAATAATTAAGTTTAGGTTTGTTATCGTCAAAAACTTAAATTAATTAATTTAAAATTAAGGGCCAATAACATAATTAATTAATTTGAAATTAAGGGCCAAACAACCAACATTACACCCACGGAGTGGCCCATATGGATAAAAAAAAGAGAGATGCGACTCATTCTTCTTTTTTAGGTACGAAGAGACGTGACAGCCACTACAAAGAAAGTAGAGGTCATGGTTGTGGTCGTTGACATTGCGACAGAGGAGGTTATGATAATGTCAACCCCTAGAAGGATAAGAGCATGATCAAGTATTACGCTGGTTTTCATACGGAACTCTTGCACTCTCGCCCATATGTCCAATGTTAGTATGCACCTCCTATACCGATACGGACTTCGTAAATGATATGGTAAAGTTACGGTAGGCTCCAATAGCTCGATAATATGAATGAATGTCATATGAGCCCGTTCTCGATGGACATGTCTGAGTAAACTATGATCAATGACATCTCGAAACTTGGGATGACATCATTACATGAAGGTCATGTTGTTGAGAACCAATTGAGAATTGAAATGCGACGTTACACATGAGGCCCAACACATTACTAACCTTGATTACAAATGT